TTTTTTTTTTTCTGAGGCAGGGTCTCACTATGTAGTTGAAACTGACCTGGAACTCACTATGTAGTCCACGCTGGTCTCGAACTCACAGTGATCCTCCTGCCTCAGCCTCCCCAGTGCTGGGATTACAGGTGTGCATCACCACGCCTGGCTGGATCCTCACACTTGGGCACCATTGAGCCAAATCCCCAGCCCTCCCCTTCCCTCCCCTCCCCTTCTTGGTACCAGGGATTGAATTCAGGACCTTGCACTTGTGAAGCAGGTGAAACCACTGAGCTAAATCCCTGCTCCCAAAGCATCATTTTTAAGATAGAAATAAATACAACTCCATGTAGAAAGATATACTCTCATTCTTCCAGTCTTATTGTTATGAATATATAAAGGGATTTTCCACATGTAGATTTGAGTTTATCATGAATATTCTTTTTTATTTAGCTTTTTAAAAAATTAACTGTTATACCATAAATATTTATTCCATGTATCTTTAGGCATTTTTATGGGTTCCAGATTTTCTGTTATGTAGGTAATACCTTCAGAGGATTTCGTTTTACAGCTAACAAATTAAATATAAACATACTTTTTTTTTCATTTCTGATCACTTCCTTGAAAATCTTCACAGTTACTAGGGAAAAGGTACCAGTATTATAGCCACCTAATACCAACAAATTACTTTCCCCCAAATGTGTGTACACATTTATATACTACAAGATGGATGTATGAACTTGGCAATATAGTACTGCTCTCATTTACACTGGTATTATGACTTAAACTTACCATTTTGATAGTAGAAATTGTGTATGTAGTCATTCTTTTAAGTTATATTTCTATAGTTTCAGTTGAGTTCAAGAAAGGTGTGCACTGGCTTTTTTTCTTAATCTGTGGATTGCATTTGACTATTGGAGTGTGTATATTTTCTTTATATGTTAGGAAATCTCCACATCACAACTATAGTTGACATCTGTGATAAGCAGTTTTCTCACCTTTCTCCTTTTTGAAAATACTTTCTGACATACAGAGCTTTACAACCTTATTGTAATTTATAAATCTATTTGCAGTACTATCTGTTGTACCTCATAACTCTGAAAACTCTCTGTCACCTAATAAAGAATTGAATACAAAGCACATACGTGAGGGGACTACCGCTGGACCCCATCCCCTCTCTGAAGGGAGATTTGACTTACGTATAGCATATGTATATCGGAGTGTGATATTAACTGTGTCTCCTGGGGACACAGAAAATACACTCTTACAGTATTGAGGTCCCATTATTCTTTTTATGGCTCTTCCATGAATTGACTATCACCTTAATTCTTTCTGAGCTACTGTTGTCCATTTTAAAAGTACCACAGGGGAAAATGTACTATAGAAGATATTAATGACCAGGTTACTCAGCCAGCGTGGGGCACATTGTTTACCCAATTATCTGAATGACTCAGGCACGAAATCTTCTGCCAGGGTTATCCAGATGGTCCTTAATTCACTGGATAATTGC